AAAACGACTAATGTACAACAGGCCAAACACCACCCAGGTACACAACACCCTACCCTAAACTACCCTAAGGGACATATCGCTCCACTGCGTATCCCAGCACACATTCACACACCCACAAGCGAGAGGGACTTTGTTCCTCTCACTACTCACACACTCAAAAGGAGGCATCTGAGCCGTCCAAACGGGGTAGGATATCCCTTGCTAAGAAAAAAGAAGCAAAGAAGAAAAACGCAAAAAAAAAAAAAAAAAAAAAATGAAGAATAGGTGAAAAACACCTAAGCAGAAAAGAATAAAGAGATTTCATTCATAAACAAAGGAAATAAAAGTCTCCGTTACAACGAGGTCATCCTCCATAAAGCAAAAAGGGAATACAAGTCTCTGTTATAAGGGAGAAAAGACTGCTTCTACAAGGACTGCTATGAAAAGCTACTTTGATTTCCTCAAGGCACAAATGATCAATCGATGTTTTCATAAAGGAATCGAACACCAAAAAAAGTCAAAGACATCCCTATGCAGGATCCTTCGTGCTATAGAAAACTTGGAATACCTAGATAGAAGGACTTCCCTTGTGCGAATAATGAGGCTACCACCTGCCTATGCGGGTAGCCATCTCCAAGGAGCAACCTCTTTCTCCCTCAACAAAGCCTTAGAAAAACCAAAGAAGACTCATTGTTCTTTTTCGTGACAAAGTGAAAAAGGAGCACTATCCATAGAAGGCTAGAGCATGACACCCCTCTTGTTATAATAGATGACTCATCCAAGCGTCAGACAACGAACACGACCAAACTTCCCATTTGGTCGAGCTTCACCACCAAAGGGATGGCCGAGTCAAGAGCTTCATGACCCATCCTCGAATGAACGAGACCGGATCTAAGTTTGACGATGATCGATGTTGGGCACATGGGGACAAGCATCCTTCTCCAGCTCCCAAAAGCGTAAAAACAACCAGAAGGCTCAAGCCTTCCATCAAAAAAGATGACCCATTTACCGAGCCTCTTGGAGCAAGCTCAACTCTAAACAAGCAAAGGAATGTTCCCTATACTGCATCAGCCGGAACGCTCCATTTTATAGAGAAAATTGTAGGCTCACCATAAAGCACCTGCCATTTCCTAAAAAGAACTCCTCGAACAACTACACCGACACATGTCGTCTAATGACGCTCCGACTCCTCAAACAGTCAGCATCTTCATGGCCACGCCGTCCAAGCGCCATTATCACCAGATCACGAGGTGGTTTCGTGCCGACGCTTCACCTACCAAAAACGTCACCTCACCGAAGGAAGGCCTGCCGCGCCTTTCTGAATTCCATCATCTCCTTCGACCACGTGTCAACAACGGGCAGCAAGTCCTCCAAATAAAATTACCAGGCCCAGGGCTCTCGTTTTGACTCCCCCTCAACAACCCTCGCTGCGATGTGCAAAGGTGAGTAAAAAAAAAAAGAAAAAAAGAAAAATCGGGCATGTTGAAACAAAAAGAAACAGGGCATTATGAATAAAAGTGGAAAGAAAACAAAACGTGGGCGTGACCCCCGAAGTCACGGGCAAAAATACGTCAGAAGGGAAGCTGGTGAAAACCATCACCGTGGCACCACTCCTAATTCAAGTGAAAACCCAGAAAGGGCACTAAGAGCAAAAACAAAATTCCGGCCTCAGCGCCACCCCACAAACAAAATTCTTCGACCTCAGCGCCACCGTCCAAATAAAAATTTTGGCCTCAGCTCCATCCCACAGACAAAATTCCGACCTTAGCACGACCCCAGAAAAAACAAAATTTCGACCTCAGCGCCACCCTCCAAACAAAATCCCGGCCTCAGCGCCACCCTCCAAACAAAAACTTCTAGCCTTAGCGCCACCCCACAAAAACAAAATTCAGCCTCAGCGCTACCCTTAAAACAAAATTCAGGCCTCAACGCCACCCTCTAAAACTTCTCAAGCCTCAACGCCACCCTCCAAAAATAAATTCTTCGGCCTCAGCGCAACCCCCCAAACAAAAATTTCAGCCTCAGCGCCACCCCCACAAACAAAATTCTGGCCTCAATGCCACCTCACAAAAACAAAATTTCAGGCCTCAGCGCCACCCTCTAAAAAAAATTCCGACCTCAACGTCACGCTCCAAACAAAAAATCCTAGCCTCAGCGCTACCTCACAAAAAAAAAAATTCCAACCTCAGCGCCACCCCGCAAAAACAAAATTTCGGCCTCAGCGCCACCCTAAAAAAAAAAAATCTCTGGCGTCAGCGCCACCCAAAAAAACAAATTCCGGCCTCAGTGCCACCCCACAAGAATAAAATTCTGGCCTCAATGCCACTCCCTCAAAACAAAATCCTGGCCTCAGTGCCACCTTCCAAACAATTTCGGCCTCAGTGCCACCCTCCAAACAATTTCGGCCTCAGTGCCATCCTCCAAAAGTTTCCGCCCTCAACGCCACCCTCTTATGTGAGTATACAGTAATGTGTACACCACATTGTGCATAGTACACTCGTGCTTAACTTGCCTCGCCCAAAATGCTAAGACTCACCCACATTGGGAGACAACAGGAGACAATATAGAAAGAAATGATATGGCTTAAAATGAAGTAAGAATTATGTTCTCTTAAGCCTTTGTGAGGAGGAGGAAAAAGAGTACTGGAGGGCAAGGGAGTTCGAGTGAGAAGTAGCAACATGCATGACTTTTTGATAGAGAACGCAGTGGGAGTAAAGAGGGAAGAGTGAAAGCAATGCAAAGAGGACAAATTGGGAGCTGAGGTGAGAGGAGTAATGGTGCCGAAATTTAGCATTGCTATTGTGTCTTAGTAAAAAGTAACACATGCAATTCGATAGGGCATTCAATGTAGAATTAGACCTATCAAATGGGGTTGGTCCAGTCAGATCTAGCTAGAATGGATTTTTAAAAAATTAAATTAATAAACAATTTTAAAAATATATATTACAAAAAGTTCTCATGATATTGGTTAAGCAGTTCAACTGGTCAAAATTTGATGACATGGAAACTTGTCAAATATTGGCTTGATTAGTTTTTTTACCAAATTTAGCTTTAACTTTGGAGTAGACCAGCGAGGGCACTAATTTGCAGCCCTACCTCCAATATTAATAACTATGACTAGGAAGACTTGTTACTGGCAAATTACTAAAAGTAAATAATATTCAATTTAATAAAATGAGGAAAAACTTCCTTTAGAATTAACAAGTCCTTGTTTATGTTTCTTGGAGGGGTGTGGTTTCCATAAGGTTGCAACCTTAAGCGGTCCAACTAAGGTGTACCTTCAAATTTTATTATAATATATAATTTTGATGTAAAATATTTTTAGGATTATGTCAAAATCTATTTTTCTATCTAATTATAAAATTTTAAATTCAAAAAATTGTTGAAATCTAATAGATCTATAAAGATATGAAAATCTTGAAAATTGACGGTGTAGATAATATGTTCTAAAATGCACTATTTTTTAGACTCAAAATCTTTTTAGTTTTTCGTAGTCATACATCTCAATGTCGCGTTTGCCTTTTAGAACATATTCCTAAAACCTTGCCCAACAAAAGTTGTAGCAATTCCAATATTTGAACTAAAAGCCGCAGCTTCCAAAGAGATGGCAACGGGGCAGGCTGGTGCCGGGAGAGCTCTAACCATGGTAACTCTAGGCCCGACCCGACCCTGGCCTGGCTGAGGAGGCCCTAGCCCAAGATGAGCCCTAACCTAGAGATAAACAAACGGGACGGCCGACTGAACTGTCCTAAACCCAAGCCCAAGCCCAAACCGGTCCTATTCTTGTCGATTACACCGACCCCAACATACTGATTACTGATTTACTTTCCCAAAAAAAGAAAATTAGGCCCATACTTATTCCTCCGTTTACTGGGGCTTTGCCACTTTTTATTAGAATTTATTAGAGTTTATGCATAAGATTTTTATACTTCCGCATGAATATTTACTCCTTCAATTATAAGAATAATTTTATAACTCAAAATTTGAGGATGTAACGTCTTCAACCCATAGACTAAACTGAGTGAAAAATTCGAAACCGAACTCCTCAAAAAGAAATCAATAAACTGAGATTAAACAATGACCATCCCATTTTTAAATGGTGATGTTAAGTAGTTAAAAAAAAAAAAAAACTCAAAATTAAATTTTTTTTTTTAATCATCTAGTAAGTTTTAGGCGGATTTCAAAATTTTATACTGAAAAAATTTCCATATAAATGTTTTAACTGAGAGAGTAGATGTACAATATGCTCCAGTTAAAGCGTACGCACTCACACTGATGAGACAATATAAAATATAAGCAGTAGACTTTGGGCCCTAGTGAGTCGTGGTTGGTTAAGATTAGGCCACATATTTACGCTAATATTAGCTCACTGATTGGCCAAAAACGACAAAAAGTTTCTAAAATCCGGCTACTTTTGCATAATTATCAATGGAAAATTCATAAAAATGTAAACACGCACACTCTATAATCACATTAAATAGTTCAAAAAAATTGTTTCAAAATAAATAAAAAATGTGAAAAAAAACCAAAGCCAATATTAAAAGCTCAAAAAAGCTCTAAAGGACCTTCAAAAACGTGGATTTAAAAAAATTTATTTACATTTGGAAACAAATTAGAAAATCTAAAAAAGGAGAAAAATAAACAAAGAGTGCATATGACAAGAGAAACATACAAATCATAGTAAAATACATACAACTTACATATACAAATTTTATGCATTGAATCTATATTTTTTATATTTCTTTATTCTTTTTAAATGGCCAAAGTTGCACTCTAGTACTCCGCTCGCCAAGGAGCCGATTCCGCATGAACTGGGACTAGTTTTGAGCCCGTGACATTTGATATTTCCAAATTTCATGATTCGGAAGGTAATTTCTACAAATTTCTCCCTGGAGATTCATAGAGAACCTTTCCATATTTTATATATCAATATTTTCCTAAAGTTTTTTATAAATAATATTACCACATCTAATCATGACAACCAAAAATACAGAACAAAAAGAAAAGAAAAAGGAAAAGGGTGGTAAAACACATGAGGTTGAACATACTCATCCCCTGCATCCTCATTAATGTAACATTCCGACATCAATCTCACATTTCTCAGAGCCTTCTTCCATTTCTCCACATCAGCATCGCCGTATCGCTCCTTCTGCTTAAGCTCATTTAGATACCACCTAGAGATTGCATAATTATCAGAAAACACAAGAATGAACATTCGCGAATTCACGATCGCCTTGTAGAGGCTGGACTCAATTTCATCTCCTTTCTCAAGCTTCTCATCATCCAAGAAGATACAGATTGAATTCTTACACAGGATTCCGTGGACGTCAAGTTCTTTCGAGTGTCTTTGCCCCTGAAGCTCAGGAATACATCGAATTCGAATCTCTGCAGATTGTTTCTTCCATTGCTGGCCATTTCTGCAATTCCTGGTTCTCGGCTCCTTTACTTTGAGGACTTTGTATCCGATTTATGGAATCTATGGTTCAACTTCGGAACAGATTAAGAACTATACTAAACGCGGGATTGGGTAGAAATAGCTTGAGAAGTTAAATGGAACCCAAAACATTCCTATTGACTTCATCACGTCAAGTTCTTCTTTTTTTTTTTTTTTTCTTTTAATTCCTTTTTTTTTTCATGGAAAGAGGAAACCTCAAGGAAAACCACAATTCATTGAAGGCATGGCTTAGGATGCTCAAACAGCAAAAAGATGAGGAGGTCCCAAATGGACCCAAGATATTCATATTCAATTGGCTTCATTTTAATCCCAACTTAATTTGTAAAGAAGAAAATGGATTTGGGCTTTAATCCCAAGCTAATTTTGAATTAGGTAGAAATAGCTTTAAAAATTAAATGGAACCCAAAACGTTCCTATTGACTTCATCAAGTCAAGTTCTTTTTATTTATTTATTTATTTTTGTTTTTTTTCTTATTAAACATGAAGAAACCTCAAGGAAAGCCACAATTCATTGAAGGCATCGCTTAGGGTGCTCAAACACCAAAAAGACAAGGAGGTCCCAAATGGACCCAAGATATTCATATTCAATTGGCCTCATTTTAATCCCAAGTTAATTTGTAGTTTAGGCTAATAGAGTTTTTTCTTTTCTTTTTCCCTTGGGTGTTATTCTCTAAGTAGTGGATGATGCAACCCAAAAATTTGGGATCCTCGTAATACCCTACCTTGGTTTGCTCCTATTGGATGGAAGTTTTCTTCCTTAGGAGCAACAAATCATTTGGCTAATATGTATAATGGTACTATTAAGGGTAAAAAATATTATTTAGTAGACCTGAAAAACAAGAAGAGCTAAAGAAATGGGTAAAAAATGGGGCATTAGAAAACAATACATCAAGGACAACATGATTATTGGATATCATACAAAAATTGTACATAGATTATATACTATTTCCATTTACTCTTGGTACAAGGAGGTGACAATTATCTATGGCAGTCATATATCCATGGAATTTTTGCATCAATTAATGAACTTGCCAAACCTATCTCCACCTCCTCAGCAACAAATAAACAATCTAATCTCAACTAACCCTTATAACAAATGAGATTTTTATTATTTATTTTGTTCGGTAAATCAGTGGGGGAGAAGGTCTCCTACCAAATTTTTTCCTTAATAATAAAAACAAATACAGCTTATAACGTTACAACTCTGGAATAGGGCATTTGTGTCACATCATGAAGTAACACAAGAGAGAAAATATTGCGATCTAGATCACTAAATATTAGCGTATGAGAAAGTTGTAGCTTTCTTAGCAAGTGTATCCGCTGCCATATTAGCCTCAAGATAAATATGGACTAACGACCAAACACGGCCAGAAAGCTTGTATCGGCTATGAGCAACAACAATATTGAGCGTCTATGAAGCTTTGTAATGATCATGGATTGCATTAACTAACAATGACGAATCTTTCTCAATCTGTAAACCGAAACAATTAAGCTGGACGACCAGGTCCACCCTTGCTTGCAAGGCATGAAATTTTATAAAATTATATTATGTCATTTCAAAGAGATTAGCAAATACAGCAATAAATGAGCAATCATCACTTCTAATAACGCCTTCGCCACCTGCAAGTCCAAGATTCTAGAAAGAAGCCCGAACCACATTTAACTTATAAGTGATTTGGATGAGGAAAAGACCATGCAATTGGAACGCGATATCTAACTTTTGTTGGTGTCATGTCATCTGGAAGTTATCTATGATTAATCTGTTTGACAAATTGAAGGTAATGGCTTTAGCATTCACGATCTCTCTAACATGAGAGGGGATTCTCTAGAGCAAGTTTTCTCGTCTTGAAATCTTCCCTTGAAAGACTCGATGATTTCATTCCTCCCAAAATATCCAAATTAATGCGAAGAAAAGAGATAGTCAGACATTTAGTAGTCCTTCTGATTTGAATCTAAAGGCAATCCAGTTCTTGAGAGGTGTCCAAAATCAGTCTTTTGCCACATCTCCAGGCAATTGATCTTCAAATACCCTACAAAAAAATGCAATGAAAATAAGGTGGCAGACACTATAATAATTAGAACAACAAAAGGGAATGGAGTCAATTGAGATTCCCCTCTGTTGAAAAAGATAAAAGCTAGGAAGCCGATGCTGAATAGCCAACCAAGTGAAGCATTTGGCCCTTGGATGACATTTCAAGGACCACAAGGCCTTGAAGATTGACTGAATGGAAACACTACGCTAAATAAAATTTCCAAATCGCCTTGGTAGCAAATAATTCATTAGAAGAATGGATCTACACCAGAAAATCTCATTGTAGTTGCAAAGGGATTGAAAATACTTCTACCTCCATCCAAATTCTAGTTAAACAAAAATAATTAGGAGAAGGAAGCCTCCATGCCTAAGGAGAACCCTGCAAATAATTAGCTTCCTTATGTTTACCAAATACTCCAAGATCTTTATGGATCTGATCACCATAAGACTACCAATTCTATGAAAGCCAAGGATCCACCAAAAACTCTATAGTCTGCCATTCCCAATAATCCACTTGATATTATGATGTAAATAAAGTAGTCCCATCTTTTTTACCCCCCAAACAGATGAGTCTCTAAATTACCTGTGCTTAAAAAACTATGATATTAAAGAGGAGGGTTTTGCCATAACTATCCATGATAGCTTCATTATACCTGCGATATTAAACATTGAGATAACATGAATCCCAAGACCCCTTCCTTGAGAGTTAGACATACTGATTTCCACTTGACCTAATGAATTAAGATAGCCTGATGAGGAAAGAACAAATTTCAGTAGTTAAATCATGGCAATGATTATGTTTCAAATTATCATGAAAGAAAGACAACCCCAAATATCTAACTAGGAGAGATCCGTCACTGAAACCAAGCCACTTCAAAATAATTGGTTTAGAACTCTGAACCACCCCGATTCTTTGCAAAATTGAGTTTTTGTCTATGGTTTTTCCAAAAACAGATAAGAGAGAGGTCATACCACTAACCGATTTCCAAGATGCTTTGCAAAAAATAACTTCATAATCAATATAAAAAAGGATGAGAAATCCCATAGTAACATTTAGAAGGGAAAGCCACTGAAAATGAACTTTGGTTCATCGCATGATGTAGTTGTCTGCTAAGGAAATCCATAACTAATAGAAACAAATCAGAAGATAAAGGATCCCCTTATTGTAAATCTCTTATACCTCTGAAATACTATTTGGAGAACCATTTTGTAACACCTAAAAAGAAGGTGTGGTAATATAAATGAACGCAAGGATAAAATAATGCAGAAAAATCTCAAAGGTTGCAATCTAGCAAGAATAAATTTCCAAGACACTTGCTCATAAACACTGCCTGGATCTAATTGCAAGCACATTTTGGGTTTCGCAGAATACTTATGACACAGGCAAGTTTATTTTTCATCAGAATATTGTCACTGCTTACCTACCCTTCAGAAATACGACCTGTTTAGGATCTATAAGGGAATCTAAGATCACCTTTAATTACTTTGAAATTAGTTTGCTAATAATATTGAAAAGAGCATTACATAAACCAATCAGTCGGAAATCCTTTATAGCACTTGGGGAATTAACTTTGGGGGTAAGGCAAATAAAAGTGGAGTTAATTTGTTCAAGAAATTTACCTCTGTTCTATAGGGCCACAAGTAAGTCTTTCTTGATCACCTCCTAATTGCAAGCATAATTTGGATTTCGCAGAATACTTATGACATAGACAAGTTCATTGTCCCTTTGAATATTGTCACTGATTAACCTACCTTTTAGAAATCCTGCCTATTTAGGATCTATATGGGAATCCAAGACCACCTTTAATCGATTTGAAATTAGTTTTCTAATAATCTTGAAAAGAACATTGCATAAACTAATCCGTCGGAAATCCTTTATAATACTTAGGGAATTAACTTTGGGGATAAACCAATCAATCAAAAATTTACCCCTCTTAAAGTAGTCCTCTAGGGGCACAAATAAATCTTTCTTGATCACCTCCCAACTGAACTTATAGAACTCCACCGTGAAACCATGTAGACTGGGGGCACCCTCACTGTTCATATCCCCTATGCATGCTTTAATCTCCTCTAATGAAATAAACTCAATAAGTTGCCGTTGTTGAGTTGGGTTAAGATGAGAATGAGGTGGAAAGTGATTCGCCACAAGCAAATTCCTATCACTCTCTTTTACTAAAGATCCTCAAAAAACCTGATCATATGATCCTCAATGTGCTCTTCATTCCCATTTTTATCTTTTAGTAAAGTGATCATGTCATTTTTCTTCTTTTTAATAGTCGTCAGATGAAAAAAATTTCTATTGGAGTCACCATCCCACAACCAATTTTGTCACGATTTTTGTCTCCACACACTCTCATGCAGAAACAATTGTTGTAAATTACTAAAACACTCTTTCTCCTCGTAAGGGACTCATTGGAAGGTCACAACTCAGATTATCATGGAGTATGGAAAATAGCCGACGAAGAGCAAATATCTTTTCTTCAACATGCCCAAAAGAAATGGAACTCCATTCTCGAATATCCTTCCATAACCTTTTTAATTTTGTGACTAGTCTGAACATAGGTGTGGCCCCCACGATAACTCTCCAAGATTCAAATATGATGTTCATAAAACCTAAGAACCTTTGCCACGTAGTGAAATTCTTGAAAGGTTTTGGACATGCTGGAGGCATATTCAAGAGAGAGAGACAATAAGAGAATAATGGGTAGAATTACCTGGGGAAAAAATTCCACCTTTGAATCTCGATAGGAAAACACTCTCTCCATGTTAGCTAGGGCACGATCTAATCATTCCCGAACACATCTATTATTCACTTGACTATTAGACCAAGAGACCAACCCCTGATAGATCCCAAAGTAATCAAAGTACAATCAACCAAATTATGAGAAAAATCACCTGAATCATGAGTTAAAGAGTCACGACCACCCAATTTTCTGAAGCATCATTAATAGTGTGCAAATCCCCCAAAACTAGTTAGCCCCCAATAGTGAAAGCGCAAGTATCCCACATATTGTTCCAAAGCTGAGCTCTCTGACCCACTAAATTAAATGCATAGACCCCCAAAACTGTGAAGGTAGAGCCATTACATAGACGGTACCTTTTACAGCAATCATTTCTCATTAACATCTAAAACATCAATAAAAAAAAAACAATGATTCCATAAGACCATGATACGAGATTTTCCCTCAATTTCATTTGCTACTACGTTACCAT